CATTTTAGATGTCAAAAGGGTCTCTCTCTCTCTCTCTCCCTCCCTCTCTATCTGCCCTTGGTCTGCCACTCCTCTTCCCCCACTCTCTTCCTTTCTCTCTCTCTCTTTCCTCTCTCTCTCCCTCCCTCCATCTCTCTCTTTCTCTCCCCCCCTCTTCTATCTGCTGCTCACCTGGCAAGCTTCAAGCTGTTGTCCAACAAGCGCAGGAGTAGGCAACCTCGTCTCTTTTATGATTCATGGACTTCAACTCCCAGAATTCCTGAGTCAGCCTAGCTGGGCTAGCTAGCTCTCTCCTGCCCTTCCTGCTTCCTGCAGAGACGCAGCAAAGGGAGGAGCTCCGCCCAGTAAGCTTTTCAGCTCTTCAGAGAACACTGTGAGTGCACTCTCTTTTATACATACACACACACACAAAAACACAAACAGAGAGGGGGGGGCAGGGAAGCGCAGTTGCCTCTCTCTGTCTCTGTCTCTCTCTGCAAAGGCAGAGGAGGCTGGGAGCCACAGGGGAAGGCTCAAAGAGCCGCATGCGGCTCCGGAGCCGCAGGTTGCCGACCTGTGAACTAGACATACCCAATTCCAGCAACCGTTCCTTATGTTTTAGCCTCCAGTCCCCTAATCATCTTTGTTCTCTGTACTCTTTCTAGAGCCTCAATGTCTTTTTTACTTCTTCTAGTCTGGTACATATGTAATGTAAAAGTCAAAGCAAGAGAAAAACTGACTCCATCTTTCTTGCCTCAGGTATAGTGGTTTAGTCTATTGTAACATTTCCAGATTCTTATGGTCAATATTGACCAATACATCCCTTCCAAGATATGTATCTATTGGTCAAAAGCTGTTTTAGCAGTTCTTTATTAAAAATGCCATATTCTTTATGGGGAAGTGAATGTTGTGGAATAAAATGCACAATAAATTGGTCCCAGGGATTTAAATCCCAGCAAAGATGCAATAGTCCATGTCAGCCAAGGAGTTGTCAATTTTGAAGCAATATTTCAATTCTAATCTGCAAAAAGATTTGATTAGACCTTCAAAGTCACCAGCTTCAGCGCCTACCTTCTTTGTCCTTAAGAAGCAAGACTCTACTGTATATACTGGAATGTCACGTTAAATCCAATGTTTGTTTGTTTTTAACTGTATTATAAATAAAATTTGTAAAAAAAAAGAAGAAGCAAGACCCTGGTTCTCCAAACCTAATCAGTGAGGTCCCAGTGAGGATAGTTCACAACTACAAAGTGTTAATGTTATAACTGAGAGACAATTATCTAGTACCAGTCATATTGGACTTATTGGATAGATTGCAGTGTGCATATATTTATCAAGTTGGACCTGCAAAATGCATATAATCTTATCAGAGTCATGGAGGAGGGTGAATTTTTTGACAGCATTTGACAAGTTCAAATACACCATTTGAGTTAGTAAATTATGGTGCCGTGTTTTCTATATTTATGAACTAGATTTTTTTTAAAGCATAGTCTCTATGTGTGGGAAAGACTGATGCTTCCTCCTCCACCAGAGTCTGCAAAGTCTCTGTACTTATCTAGCAACTTTGCCTCTTCACCCCAGGATTTTCTTTTGCATGCTTCAAAGAGGCCATACAATGAAGTTTGGCCAGCTGGGGTGGGAAAAGTCAGAGTCCCTGTCTCCCAGTTTATTGCAGAGTTGTGAAGCTTCCGCGATGCCAATTCTAATATGATTAGGTTGTGTAGATGGTGCATGATGTAAATAGGAAACAGTTGTGTATGCTTTGCAACTGATAGTTGCAGGAGGATTGTAGCTTGTGTAATTGGATTTGTTCTAAGGGCTGACCATCTATCGTTTCTACTTGGAATAATAGAATAGTAAGTCTTATGGAATCTGCAGTGCTTCAAAATTGCTGCTAATTCTATGAAATCAGCAAAGCAGTTGCTCAGAGTCCACTAAAGGCTTCAGTGTTTCTTCTTCCTTATTGGGTAAAGTCAGAGTAACAGAAATTTTCAGCAATGTATCTTGATTCAGATAGAATCGAGCCTATTTATGACTGAGCAGCCCCTTCTGTGAGCTCTTGCAAGAGGGGCTGTTGTCTTTTCCCTGGCCTCTACTCTTCACTCCATATGGTGTTCTATGCCCTGGCTGGATAGTCTTTGTCCTCTTTGCGGGATTTTGGCCTGGCAGGCTCTTGGCATATGCCCAGGTCTCTGCAGTAAAAGCAAAGCACTAATTCTTTGTGCCTCTGCACAAATGGCACCTGCCATTCTCCTTACCATCCCTATTTGCATGGGTTCCTCCTCCCCGAACTTAGTCTCAACCAGCATGAGTGGAGAGAAGGCCCAATAGTGAAACTTTGAGCTTGGTTCTTTCTGTTGCCGAAACTGGCATTGTATTTCTTTCACACATGAGTCAAGGATCATTTAAACCTGATCTAAATTCTGGGGAACTCCTTTTAGTGTTTAGCTCTCAACTAAACTGAGCAGTCAGGCTGTTTTGTTCCAATCCAGTTCTCAAAGATGCTTTTTCAAAAGGTGGACTTTTTTTCCCTTGAGGAAGAAGAATAAAACATTTTGCTTCTCATCCAAGAAGCTTCATCAGTTGTGATGGCGGGGGAATGGAAGGGTAGGTACTGTTGAGACTGGATGATCTTGAAGTACTATAATCTTGAGGTATTATAATCAAGGTTAAATGCTATCTTGGATGGAGCACTAACCTCAGCAAGAAAATTTCTACTTTTTAAAATGCCCCATAGATGTTGAATCAAAGACATTTTGTATTGCAGTTTAATGTGTACAAATGTGTATATTTTAGTTCAATAAAGTGCTCACAAATAAGCACTGCTATCATTGCAGGAGAAATAATACAAGGAAAGAATGATATGAACAAAATTGTAGTAACAAAAGACTAGTCTGAGAAACCTACACATAGAGAAAAGGACAGATTCTTTGATTTAGTTATTGATCCAATTCTGATCCTAATACAAGGAATTATTAAAGACTAAGAAGTCATCTTTTTATAGGCATCAATGTATAGAACTTAGTCTCAGTTTAATTTAAAAAATGAGAAGTTTGGGGAATTGGTAGATAATGATATTTTCACACACAGCACCATGTCCCAGTCAAAAATTGGACTCAGTATTTTTTCTCTACTGCAGCTATTCATACTGAGCCAATAACAACCTCTGTTGAATTAAGCTTACAACCAGACAGTCCATCTATCAAAACATCTGAGTATCACCAGCTGATTTTAACCCTGGCATTTGGAAAATCTCCTGGAGAGAATATAACTAGACTTTTCTTAGAAATAGATAAAATATGTTGTACTACCCCATTGTAAGCAAAGCATAATATATTCAGTTCTCCAGAAAAGCAACTAACAAAAACCTGCTAATTATCATCCAATTAGATATCTCTTCTGAGCTTTATGCCAGGCATATTTTGAATAAATTAGATAAATTCCATTCAGAACAGGGTTTCAAAAAGGACATAGAGTAGATTGAAGTTTCTTATTCAGAAAAATACAAATAAGACAAGCAAAACAACACTGTTTTCCCTTTATTGTTCTTAGTTCTGCCTTTATTTCAGTTGACAGGTCTCAGCTTTGAGAGAAATTAGCTAGGACAGGCATCAGTAGGCACCTCTTAAATTAATAATTGAACTACATATTGAGATTACATTCAAAGTAAGAATGGGCCCACCAGAGTTCTTGTCAGATCCTATTTTATTGGAGAGGGAGTCAAATAGATCTGTTTACTTGCTCCTTTCTTCTTTAACTTTTATATTAATAAATATTACAGTGGCCATTGTCACAAAGTTTTTTTCTCCCCCTCATTTAATGGTTGGAAAATTTCCAAGTTAATAAATACTGATGATATCCTGATTTCCTGTCCAAGATTGGCTTTCGAAATGTATTGGATAGACTAGCTGATTATTGTGAAGGAGCTGAAACCTGGGGGTGCGATGAGAAAGTTTGATTTGGTCATGTACAGGAACAATCTAAGTAAATATATATTGGATTGTTCATCAATAATTCAGTCTCTTACAATACTAATGATTAAAATTTGTTAAATTACAATAATTTCCAAGGTGCATTTATTTAAATAAATCTAGATTAGAAGAATAAATTAATGTGTTCAGTTTTTTCATGTACTAACACATTGGCATTATGCTTTCTCTTCATATAATTCTACAAGTAACACTTGTTTAATTTGGTTAACACTTATCTAAAACAAATACTGATTTGTAAATTGTATTTATTTATTAATCAAATTTAGGTACCGCCCATCTAACTCTCAGAATAAATATTTGATACTGTACTATAACTTCCTCATAAATACTAATTCCCTTTTCCTCAATAATATAAAGTGGAGCATGGCTTTTAAAACATGAGAAGAATTTCCTGGACAACAGCATTCCAGCAAAAGCAGAACTATTTCTCTAGATCTACTGAACATTTTACCAAAAAAACTGCCTTTCAGCATTGTTCAGTTGCCAAGCCTTCATTTGTAGTCATTTCTTAATTAACTTTCCAAAATCATAAAGTTTTACTCTAGAAGTTGAATTAGATCATGATATTTCATGAGTCATATACAATACATAACGCATAATCCAGTTCCCCTACATAAGGAAATATTTTTCAAAGTTACATTTTATTATGCTGATATTAATTTCAGTTTTATATGAATTAGAAGTCATCAACACTAGTATTTTCTAAAAAAAAACATGAAATGCCAGTTAAAAAGTATTTTCCTACTATTATTGCTATGTCCTCTTCAAAATATTTCTAATTGACTTGTGTTCTGTTTCCCAGAATACATTTTTAAAAGGTTCCACAAGAGCTGCAATCAAAAGATATGTAATAGTTAAATTTTCTATTTAAATTAACTGAATATTAATTAGTTACAACTGTTTTACATTTTTCACAAAGATGTACTTGTGTCTATAGGAATTTTGGTACAGGGTTCTGCAGACTTTTCCCTCATGTTATTTAATATCTATATGAAATGACTGGAATTAATCAATCATCTGTTTTTTTAGGAATGAGATATTGCTGATAGGCTGATGACATTCAAATATATATCACTACTCTGGACCAAGTGAGTGATGACATTGAGCTCTTTTTTCCTGTTATTTATTTACATAAACAGGACAAAGAATAAAAATAAAATAATAGTGAAAGTAAAAAAGCAATAAAAATACAATTGTATGAGTAAATGTCTATATATATAAAATTTTATATAAAATTTCAATACAGGAAGACTATATTCATTTGTAATTGTCAACATATAATCTATATCTATAAGTAACTTGTTCATAAATTACAGATAACACAATGTTTTCTGCTCACTAATTGGAGCCATAAACATATCTTAACTATCTATTAATGAGATATCCAATTGCCAACATCCATATAATAAGTATATAGTTCAGTAAAATGAATATCCAAAAATATAAAATTGTCTGAAAATTTAATATATTTTTTCAGAACATAACTTTAAGACATCTAACATGTTTTTGTGTATCTTATATATAATGATTTTAGTTATATGTTATTTTATTTCTAACAGCACAATTATTTACTCATTCTTTTTTTGTAACAATGCAATGAGGTGTTTTGACCCTGGTCATCATGGGAAAGCAGGCCTCTAGAGTTCTTTATTGCTCTAAGTAAATGTTCCAACAGTCTTCCAATGATTGGTAAGGCTTCACCTCATGCTACCCTGAAGACAGCCACCCTCAGTTTCCCAAACAACAGCCCGTATATAACAAAGAAAGTCCACAGAGTAGGAGCATGCTCAAAGGACAAGATCCAGAGTCCCAAGTCCAGTATACTCGAGTGAGCAAATTCATGAGGCAAACTTTATCCACAGGATAAAGTCAAGGGACAAGGCAAAAGGTAGTCCTCAAGGCAAGGGCAAGGTACAAGGCAAAAGACAATTTTTAAGGCAAGGCAAAAGGCACAAGTCAAAGACGGGGGAGTGTAAGCCAAACCAAACAATTGTTCCTGGCAAAGACTAACTGTCCATGGCTTATCCTTAAGTCAGTCCACTCCAGGTGTTCCTTGTGAGGAGGATGGGGCAACCTTCTCCCGAGTAGCCTTGCAGCCCTTCTTTGAGATTGCCTATGCTCCGCCCTCCATGCCCTTGGATCAAGTGGGGGAGGCAGCTGTTCCTCATCAGAGGGGATCTGCTGCCTATCAGCACTCCTGCCTTTCAACAGCCGATCCTCTCCTGCGTTTGTGAGGGCAGGCAACTCTCTGCCTGGTGAACCACCTCCCCCAATGCCAGAGGGGCCTGGGACAAAATCATCCTCAACCCCTGGCCTCTTTAAACATTCCAAGGGAGACGTACCATCCCCGTCAGATGGTCACAGTTCCTCCTCCTCCTCCTCCTCCCCTGAATCAGGCCATGGCATGAGGATTGTTGTAAGTCTAAAATATTAAAAATGAAATCTTGAATGGGTACCTGAAAATTGTTATGACATGGAGTGGATAAAACAAGTTCAGATGTAATCCTACCAAGACCAAATTGCTAGTGGTCAGTAGATATTTGGGCATTTTAATAGCACGAGCCCCAATATAGTAGTTATTTTGGATGGGGTCATGCTGCCTCCACCTGAAAAAAAAAAAGCGATTTGAGATTTGTGGGAGCCTTTGCCTAGCTTTCATTGATGCACCAGTTGAAGCTTAGCTGGACAGATGATCTCAACTCTTGAATTCATACTTTGATCACCATTCAGTTGGAAATTATCTGGAAGCTGCTTTTGCAAAATGCTGCATTGATTATTGATGCCTTTTGGGACCAATTCATACAGCAGGTCATTATCTTTAAAATCCCAAATGATATTGCAGCAAGATATTTCAGGCAATGTCTTGCAACAATTGAGTCTGAAAGAGATCCTGGTGAAAGTTTCCTCTCTCATAAGATTCATAAGATATAAGATGGCATGACTAATTTTTAGTAGCTTCTCTTTATGAAATGTTCTATAAACATGTTAAAGCTATTTAATTTCCTTGAGCTTTTGGTACCAGCTGATTGATTATATGTACCTATTAAAGATCTTAATATTTTTATTAAAATCTATTTTGTTTTTTAATGTTGATTTGAATATAATATTTTTAACTTTTCCTTTCTGTGTGATGTGATACATCATACAGACTCTTGGGACTGGAGCAAGTTGTAAGTATTATAAATTAAAATAAATAAATTTGACATTCTTATAAGCAGGAAATGATTTGCTTTCTCTGTTCCTCAATGTGTGGAGATAGAGCAGGCATTGCTTACTGACTTATGGCTGAATTTCTCATTTAAAATAAGGGTAATTCTGATCTACATGCTGTGATTAAGTAATAGAAGTAGTCTCTATACTCAATTTATATAAGACCATTAAAGCCTAAATGAAACAGCATTGGGTGTTTCTTCTTGCCTGCAGAATTTGCTACCTTCTCTGTATGTAGCAGCTGTCCTCTGGAACGAGGTTCCCCCAAAGATCTGAATGGCCCCCCTTCTGTTGTCATTTAGAACAGCCATCCTCAAACTTTCCAGCTTGGTGGACCAGTGTGGGGAGAGAGAGGATGGTTCTGTGTGAGCGGCAGGCACGTGCACACTTGCACCCAGTTCTATTTGCACAAGCGGTGGGCACACACACCCTCCGCTCGCACGAATGGAGCTTCATGCGCTCACGGGCATGTCCACCGCTCGCGCAAATGGAGCTTTATGCGCTTGCATGCTCGCTTGCTGCTTCTGTGTCCTGGTTCAAATAGGCTGCAGTCCAGTACCGGGCCATGGCTCGGGGGTTGAGAATCCTGGTTTAGAAGACCTGTGAACACCTGGCTCTTCATCCAAGCTTTTTTCCAAGGAATATAAGTTTTAATATATTGTTGTTATTATTTTGCAAAGTTATATTTAAACTAAATAACAATATTATTATATTATCATTGTATAAATGACTATCTACTTTTAAAAAAGAAAACTAACCTATTATGTAAAGTAGCTAGTTAGTGGGAGAAGAAAAAAATACAAATAATTATCAAGGAAAGAAAAAGGCGGGGAAACCAAAAACTTCAGCAAATCTAAAAAACTTCATAAAATACAAAAACTAAACTACACATAACTCTGAGAAAAAAATCTGTACTTAAATTATATCTCTATTTATATCTGCTTATCTACATCTATAAAATTAAAGAAAAACTACTTTTCAGACTATTAAAATTACATTGTTTTATTAATTGCAATATAACGATTTAATAATTTAATGAATAAGCAGTGAATTAAACCTAGGCTATATAGAAATATATTTATTCTCTTTTCCTTCTTGAATCTCCTTCAGTAAAAAGTTAATTTCAAGTCTGAAAGTTGACAAATTTTGTTAATCCAATTATTATTAATATTCCATGAATATATGATAATATTTTTCCTTCAATACTCCCAAGTTATGAACTTTTTTACAGATTATAATGTTCCAATTTTTTTATGTAATATTAATATAAGAAAATATTTGTTTTGGTCTTTGCTTCTATACCCAAACTAGATAAATATTTTTGAGAAAGGACAGATCTTTATAGTACTCATATAGTAATATGAATTATAACTGTAATGGAATCTGTGCATTAATTGCAATCGTAAGTTATAATGGTCATAAAATGGGTCAGTCACATGATCAATCTGATTTTATGACATGTTTTCACCTGTTGTTAAGTAGACACGGCCATTAAGCAAATGCCACGGTCATTAAGAGAAACCTATGGTTGCTATAGAACAGTTTTGCCAAACTAGAGGTAAGTGCTAGTTTTTCCGCAAAAGTGTTGTGAAACATGGTCACATGACCATGGGATGCTGCAAATGGCTGTAAAATGCAGCTGTGTTTGTGAGCACCCAAAGTGCAATTACATGATTGTGGGGGAGCAGTGAACATTGGAACCTCTGGTCCAGATCCTAAGTCCCCTTTTCAGATAGGTTGTAACTTCAAATGGTTGCTAAGCAACCAGTCATACATTGAGGGCTACCTGTGTAATTTAGTGATGATTAGATACAATGCAAGCAAGAAGGGAGAAAAAATAAAAATGATCCTTTACCAATCTGGGGAGAGATTGGTACACTGTAAATTTATTGGATATGCAAATATTAGAAATATCCTAAGAGAGCGTTTTTATTAATATAATATGATAAAAATATTTATTATCCTTTATGTTACTTACCAGCTGTTTGGGGGAGATTGTTATATTGTCAGAATATAAATAATTGTAATAAATAATATACAGAACAGTGGGGAGGAGGAAACTTTTCTTTCCCAAAATTGGCCAGTCATTGGAAATCCTTCTTTTTATTTCAGATGAACAGGAGGCTTTGAATTCTATCATGAAGGACTTGGTTGCCCTCCAAATGAGCCGGCGTCCCAGATTGTCTGGCTTTGATAGCATGAAAAACAAAGATTCTCCACATTCCAATAGACAGGTAATACCTTCCTGATAAGTAGAACCTTGCTTATCATACATATGTTTGGCTAATAGAAACATTGCTCAGGAATTAATTCCTCCAGTCACATTTCCTTTCTGCAGCTATACTCAGTAACATATTTTACTCTACTCCAATGCCTTGAAGAACCCAAAGGTCCTATCATACTTATTTTCAATTTGGAGGAAATAGAGCGTGTTATCAAAGGTAATTCAAAAGAGATGGATAATACTACTACCGTGTACTATGGTCAAGTCATAGCTGTGCCATTTCTGTTCCGATGTTCTGATCTTCGTTCCAAAATTCTCCAATAAATTCTATATTGAGAGCTCTATAAATCTCAAGAAATTGGGAATATTGTCATGGGGAAATATTCCATGTATTAATCATTCCATTCTCCCCAAAAATATCTCCACAGATGTGCATATATCTTCCATCCTTCTCTCTCCATGCTCAAATACTTCTTACCATGTACCTTTAAGATTGTTTCACAAACCTATTCTTTCCATTTTACACACTCATCCTTACACTTCTCATTCACATATCATACAACTTTGAATTTTTCTCTTCTAAATAAATAATTGAGTTTTTCCCTCTTTAAGAAAAAACACAGTGCCAGCAGCCCAGGTCTCCTAAGCAACCTTATGATAAGAAAACAAAGTAGTCTTGCAGTAGAGGAAAAAAAGTCACAGGTAAAACAAATTGTTTTCTCTTCTAATGTTCACTGTTAAATGTTTTTTTAAAATCACCTAAAAAGCTAATTCAATAGTTTACTGTAGTATACCTTTTACAGTAGCGCAAATAGCATTAATTTGAAAGAATAAAATGAAAAGCAGCATTTTTCTGGATTTCTTCAAATAGAAAAGCATACCTGAGTTTCAGATCTTGTGTTATATCCAGAAGTAAATATATGAGATACTCTGAAAGAAAATTTGGGACTCTATCTTGATAGAAGTAATTGTTACAGGTAGCATGCAGGGTTTTATTCATTCATTCAGTTTATGTGACTGCTCATCTCACAGCAGGAATTCTGGGCAGCTAACATAATATTATATAACATCAAACATTAATGATAGCCAGGGTACAAAATCAATTTGCTGCCTATGGAACAATAACATACTCCAACAAACAGTTTGATTCTAATGGGAACACATCCATGTCTTCAGTGTTTTCTGAAAAGCAGGAGCGTTAGGGCCAACCTAATCTGTGAGGTGCTGTGACACAAAAAGCCTGTTCCTGGATCCCACAAGGTAATATTCTTTAATTCACGGGCTAATACAATGCCTCTCCTAGATATACAGGATGGGTAGAAACAATTGAGAAAATAGGTCCCACAAATAACCTACCCCTATGCTATAACATCTTTATAGGGGACAAACAGGCTCTTGGATTGCAGCTAGAAACACATTTGAAGCTAGTATAGCTAATTGTAAAAGTGTAACATGAGTGCACCACAATGCATAACTGCCAGCACTGCTGCATTCTGGACCAGTTACATCTTCTGGATACTGTTTAAGAGCAGCCCCATCTAGAGCACATTGTATAATGGCACAGTGGTTAGAATGCAGCATTGCAGGTTGCTGGCAGTTCAAATGTCACTAGCTCATGGTTGACTCAGCCTTCTATCCTTCCGAGGTCAGTAAAATGACCAGATTGTTGGGGGCAATATGCTGACTCTATAAAACCACTTAGAGAGGGCTGTAAAGCACTGTGAAATGATATATAAATCTAAGTGTATTGCTATTGCTAGAAACTACTTGGATTTTACAAGAAATGTTAAGCTAAGAAAGCATTTTTGGTGAGAAATATTAGAATTGATATTGTTTGCTCATCTGAACAAGAAGGTGTCAGATACTTTTCAGAAACCTGAATTGGATTGGTGATAATTAATCTAATCATAAAATAAAACAGCTGGTGTAGTTGTGGCCAGGAAGGCCTTCGTACAGATTCATCTTGTGTGCTAGTTGTGCCCTTTCCACCTCCCTCCCCTTGTGCATTTTATTTTCCTCTTCTCTTCATTTTCATCTTTGTTAATTTTAAGTCGATTTTAGTGTTAATATTTATTATTTTAATGTTTTAATATTATCTTATTGCTTTTATTTGTTGTAAGCTGCCTAGAGTTATATTTAGGTAAGATGGCAGCATATACATTTAATAAACAAATAAATAAATAATCAGAAGTCCTTCAGACAGTTACTCATGCCCTAGTGTTTTCATGACTAGACTATTGCAATGTGTTCTACATGGGGCTTTTCTTCAATCCAGAAGCTACAGCTTCTGCAATGGCACAAACAGTAACAGGCACTTTTGGATATATCCATGTGGCACTACTGCTAAGAGATCTGCATTGGTTGCCAGTCAACTTCCAAGTGCAATTCAAAGTGCTAGTTATTAACTATAAAGCCTTGTATGACTTAAGGTCTAGACACCTGAGAATCCATCTATCTCCAATTGTCTCTGCCCACTTGGTAGATTCCAGAAGAGTGGTCTGCTCCATGTCCATACTATTAAACGTTGTCATCTTAGGTACTCAGGAAGTATACCTTCTCTGTCTTAATTCCTGCCCTCTGAAACAGACCCCCATCCACCCAAAGTTACAGACAGTACCCTTCCTACTGGGGTTCTAGAAGGCTTTTAAACCTGGCTTTGGTCTCAGGTCTAGAACTATGTATTTGGGGGGACCCTGTTGTAGTTTCTTGTTGTTGTTACAATTGTCTTAGCCTGCGCTATATATGATTCTAATTGTTTTTATTGGGTTTTATGCTGGGTGACTATAATGACTTTAAAATGATAAAATATCCTCTTAGATCAGTGGTTCTCAACCTGTGGGTCGGGACCCCATTTGGGGTCGAATGACCATTTCACGGGGGTCGCCAAACCACGCTGTCCGCCATTTTTCCCTTTTCCCTAGCTGTCCTACTCCCTTTTATTGGTGGCCACACCCACTTGGGGGTCACCACAACATGGGGAACTGTATTATGGGGTCACGGCATTAGAAAGGTTGAGAACCACTGTCTTAGATGCTTTTATGATGCACTGAATAAAATTATCAAAGTATTTAATAGGTAATATGAATAATGTTATTTTGGCAGAATGACATCAGGATAAAGTTTGAACATAATGGAGAAAGGCGGTAAGACTTTGATTTTTGTTCTTTCTTTTTACATACTTTACTGCAATTCAGATACACAGTCAGGTTTGTATATTGGGTCAATGATAAGTCTTTTGGCATTGTATTGTATTTGAAATGAAACCCTCAAGATATGAGTGAAGGGAAGACTTCTAGCTTTAATTCATGGGGTTTGACAAAAGTGTGGCATTAACCATTGAGAAATTATAGCTATTTTAATACACCCACTCCCATTTTTGGTGGCTCATAAACAACAAACTAATGTAACTACAAATACAAGAATTGTTTTGTTTTGTTTTTAATTGTTGGATGAAAATCCTTTGCAGTCAGTGCCTGAATTTCTGGAACCCATATAAAGGACAAATATTGAGTTTCCTCCTTTGAAATGCTTTTCCACACTTTTACTGCAGTTGCCTTTAGCTATTGTTTGTTTGTGGATCTTTCTGTCTTCAGTCATCCTTCAGTAAGTGAACCTTCTGTTGCACCAAGATCAAGTGACTGACTTGGCCAGTGAAGAATATCCCACTTTTTTTTAACTTAGAGAAACTCTTAGGTTGCTTTTGCTATATATTTTGTGTCATTATCCATCAGTGTCATATCAGTTTTCAGCAATTGGTTGAATCTAAGCAGAGAATATAGCCTTGGACACTTCAAATTTCATCTTCCTATTTTTATCAGCACTCAAGTCACCAATAAACACCATTGACCTGGTTTCACTGGCAGCCATACATGATCATATCATTACACTGCCTCCACCATGTTTGACAGATGATGTGGTATGCTTTAGGTCATGAGCTGTTCCTTTTCTTCTCCAGACTTTTCCCATCATTCTTCATTTCATTAGTCCAAAGAATCTTATTCCAGAATTGGGCAGGCTTTTTTAGGTGGCAAAGTCTAATCTGGCCTTTATCTTCTTGAGTGTTATCAGTGATTTACTCTCATGAAGCTGTCATTTGATTGGACTTGGCTGGACTTGGCTAGACATTGTGAAAGAGTTTTTCTTCACTACTGACAGAATTCTGCAGTCATCCATTTCAGTGGTCTTCCAGGCCTTCTGGTGTTGCTGAGCCTGCCAGTTAATTCCTTCTTTTTAAGAATAGCAAATTGTTGTTTTGGCCACTCCCAATATTTTTGCTCTCTCTCTGATGGGTTTAATTTGTTTTTTTCAGTCTAATGATAGCGCATAGACATCTCTTTGGACCTCATGTTGAGTGTTCCAGTGAACAGCTACCAAATGTAACACTCGAAACTAGACCTTTAGCTCTTTGATTTGCCATGGACTAATGAGGGAACAGGTTACATCTGGTCATGAAACTGCTTGACAGCCATTTGTCCCATCATTTATGAGACACCAAAACTGGGAGGACAGGTATATGTGTTAAAATGGCTGTAATTTCTCAATGGTCAACAGTTGCACTTTTGTCAAACCTCTTGAATTAAAGCTGAAAGTCATCACTTCGCTCACATCTTGAGTGTTTCACTTCAAATTCAGAGTGTGGATTACAGAGACCCCAAATGCCAAAAAAACCTATCATTGCCCCAATATAAGTTAATCTGACTCTTTTGCAGTTATCTTGTTTAAGCTGAATTTGATCTATATTGAAACTTTTGTTTTTTCTTTTACTATTAAAGATTAAAAATTACATAAATAACAGAATACAAGATGGAAGGACTGCCTGTAAAAATAAAGCAGAGAGAATTTATGAATATTAGCAAACAACATTGTTATATTAACAATTTAGAAGAAAGCAGAAAAAAAATTTGATACACTGTCCAAACCATTTTGTTACATGAACTATCTAGAGCCCACTTTGCTGCCATAATCAGTATTTTGGTGTCCCATCCAGAATCATCCCCTTTACCCGGCCTGTCCGCTATGAAGATGTTCAGCAGAAAGTGAAAATAGCTTTTGGGCAGCCACTGGATCTTTACTACATGAATAATGAGGTACTAACTTATTATATATCTTCAGTACACGCAGTGCTTTTTTTCTAAAAAAAAAAAAAAAAAAAAAAGGTGCCGGAACTCACACACGTTATACAACCCGCCTTGCCTACCCTACAAGGTTCCATCCAAAAAAGGTGCCGGAACTCCGAAAAAATGCCCTGGGTACATGTAAATACCTGCTCAGAAAATGTAAGTCTGTGGCACCTCCCCCACCCCTCCAAATAGTGACTCTCGAAAATGATTTGTACAGCTCCAGTTTTCTGAAAAATTGTATTGGCTTTAACAAAGTCTGGAATAATTGCAGTTCCTGGTTTTCAAACAGATAACTAATTATATTTAAACTATCTGTCAAACACAAGATGCTTTATTTCATTTAAGAGAATTTTACCAAAGAGAATGATTAGTTTTCAAATAAATGGAACAATTGAGAGGATCAATACATTAATCATCCTTTCAGGAAGTAGGAGAGATTCACATTAAATTATAACCTAAAAGAAAATTTTTACAAAATGATGTATCACTGGTATTTAACACCAGATAAGTTATTTAGAATGTATAAAGGTATTTCAAATGAATGTTGGAAATGTAAATGTAAAGAAGGGACTTTTTATCATTTATGGTGGACATGTGATAAGACTAAGAAATATTGGAGTAGGATTCATATATTAATGCAAAAAAATCTTAAAGTGAACATAAAGATTAAATCACAAACTTTCCTTCTGAGTTTATTGGAAAGAGAACTGGAAAAAAAATTGGAACTCTGATTTTATATATGGTGAGGGTAGCAAGATTGCTCTATGCACGGAAGAGGAAGGATGTCTCGATTCCTACCATGGACCAATGATTACAAAAGCTGATGGAATTAGCAGAGATGGCCATAAAAGAAAAGGACATAAGTACTTTTGTTTCTTCTTGGAAACCACTTCTGGACTTTGTGTGTGAGGTAGAAAAAAATAATATTATGATTTGGGTTTTACTGATTAGACCAGGGGTGTCAAACTCGCAACAGGTGGGCATGGTTTTGGCATGATGTATCCGGCCCATGGGCCGGCAGTTTGACACCCCTGGATTAGACTCATTTGCCGATACAAAAATGGCTAGTGCATACTACTATAGAAATGTAAAAAAATTGAGATTTGATTTTAATATCTGATTTTGCTGCAACAAAGAGAATCGGAAGTCATTGCCTTTTGTTTCCCCCCCCACTTTTCTAAACAACTTTTTTGTTTTCCTTTTCTCTACTGTTGTCCCCTACTTTTTGCTTTTGTATTTTCATATTTTATGTTATAAAATGCAGTTGCTGTCTATATTAAGTGTCCTCCAAATGTGTCGGGAATTCATCTGCTTTTTACATTTAATAAAATTATTATGAAACAGATTCCCTTCTAGTATGTAGTTCAGATAATACAGAAAGTGTCAAGTTGAAGAGGTCTTTACTTTTTTAAAAAAAAAGTATAATTGGAAAATACATGGAAACCAGCTTAAAAATTTGAAATTGCTAAACTGATTTTTAGTATTAAAATTAAATTCATCTCTTTTTCACGCTCTTCTTAAAATAAATTCAGAGGAATAGAAGATTTTCTGGATATCAGTTAGGGAAATGCATGTAGAAATAACTTTAAGTTATAAAGGTGATAATAGAATTGTTTCCTTCGTGCAAAATAAATGCAGTTCGAAGTATACCTGAAGGAATAGCATCGCCCTTTTATAGCTTATATATGTTTTCCTTACATAAATTCTGGTTATACCAAATCTATTTGCAAAAGCAGTGTGGCCTTGTTGTTCCCTTGTTCAACAAGTGTTCCCTTGTTGCTATTCAGAATTTAAAATGGAATGCACCTTTATGAACTCTATTGTCTCTATTTATTCTTTGCAGTTATCTATTCCTTTGAAAAGTCAAGATGACCTTGATAAGGCAATAGATCTGTTAGACCGAAGCTCAAATGTGAAAAGCCTTAGAATATTGCTGCTGTCTCAGGATAAAAATCATGTGAGTAATAGCAATGTAATCTATTTCAGTTTCATATTTTCTGCCTCAAATATTGCATTCATTGATTGATTGATTTTCAGTCGCCCACATTTTCAGGTTGTGCTGTGATCTTTAGTTCTTACCGATACATATATTTAAAACCTTATTAAGTCTTGAATCTCTTAACAATTTAACTATTAATTCTACAATGTAGAATGCATTAATTCATTCACTTTTTTGTTTGCTGATAACATTAATTTTAGGATTTATGAGAGTTATAATCCCCAATAACTGGAAGATAGATTAATTCCTCCTGTCATAGTAGAATTAACTTAAATGCTAAAATAATTTAAAATTTAACATATGATTATATATCTTTCACTGTTTAAGAAGTAATTTTCTGCTTGAAAAATGTCATTTTTACTTATAAGGGCTACAGGCAATTTGCCAATTGCTTCTACTAGTGCCTACCAAATTCAGATAATATTTAGACTGTAAACTACTGAGAATTCTGTTTCAGAAAACCTTTGAACCTCAGTTTGAATTTATCTATATGCCATTATATTTGATAAAATAAAAGTTATAAACTTGCACATATATCATGGAATCTTTGATAGCAATATATACCTCATTAATTTTAATATTACAATGAAGAATCGTTAGTAACTCAGATCCAGATTTCCATAGCGCTCCAACTATAGTTCCTATCCAGTATTTGTCTAGCTCAAGATTAATATTCTGAATTTACCATGATATTGTATATTTCAACCCCTTGGCGAAATAGAAATAACAATTTTGATTTTATTTTTAGTCACAGATTAATAATGCCATCCTGCTTATTTGTTTCCATTGTCATTGTTTTAAAACTAAAACATTTGAACCTTCAAACCCTAAATTGTTTAAATCTTAGCAGTCTCACTTTGTTTTTAACAGATCAGTCTTTCATCCCATTCTGGGATGTCAAAGCAAGTCAGAATCAAAACTTCCCAATCTACAGGAGATGTAAACACTGCCTACCAGCCACTTGAAACCCGAAGCAAACACCTGTCCATCAGTGAGTGTATTAGTCTGTCGCTATATTAATGTCCATAAATAATATTGAGCTCTGCCAACATTTTTATTTTTGGCTTGTTATTTTCATGTATCTGGCTCCTAGACAATTCTGTGCATATTAATATTATATATATGCACTCTTTCCTTCTTCACATCTCCACTATTAATAGTTATGTGAAGTAAAAACTATGGCTTTGCAGCTATTTCCATCCATTTCCATTCTGAATCACATCCATAAAAATTCAAAAAATAGGAGAACTCCCTTCCTTGCCTTCTGTTTCCTTTCCAGTTGCTTTTCTGTTTGTAACTTCCTGTCTTCTAGTGCTAGCTATATGAATTTAATTTCATATGATATAATATCTCTCATCCATAATAAATGTACAAAATATAAAGCAATTAAATCATTAATTATAAAGCCCTTTGAAGAGCATTCAGTTAGAGCATTTGTACAGGTCCTGTGGAGACACCTGGGGTGAAGACTTGCCCTCTTATTTGGGAACAGTTTCAACCTATTGAACCTGATGAAATGGACAGGTCTCATATGTCTATGAACTTGGCCATTGCTTTTTAGATTTATATTATTCCTTGCTGACTAAGACTGCCTTGGGAGACATGTGGATAGGTTGTTGATGATAAATTCATTCTTGAAGAAGGGGGACGTTCTTAAAGGTTTTTCTTGTCATTTTTATTTGCAATTTCCTCTTTTTCCATTTGCAAAGTCACATCACTCTGCATTGTCAGAATGCTTGCTTAAATTATCATCAGATGAATCACACATACAGAATCTTTGTCAGAGCATGCACATCTTACACTGAGGTAACACAGGAGTAAATACAGTAAACAGTGGTTTGTATTAAATGGTGGTTTATATTACACTATCAACAAATATATACTAGGAGCAAAATACATACACTTGGTGATACAGCAAACTCCAACATACAGTAATTACTGCAGGAAACAGACAAGAGAACACAGCAGCAAAAGCCTTCCCTTTTATACTCAGGCTCTTAAAGGGATACACACACCTGCCAAGTCATTCCTATTATTGCATCATCCATCTCACATTGCATTACATAATTACATAAGCTGTTTAGCTATTAAATTATTATCCTGACAGTCTTTCAAATGTCTCTTATGTAAGATCCATTATTCAGGCCATATTCCTAATGTTGGTCCAAATGCCACTGACCTTCTATTCACTAGCAGTGGTGCTTGTTTTTTGTTTGTATCACTTTTTTTTAGATGTCCTTTATCTTGTGCAGCCATTTAATAAGCATAATTAAATCTTCAGGCTCTCAGAATACAGGTCGAAGTTCACCCCCACCAGGATATGTTCCAGAGAGACAGCAGCGAATTGCTCGCCAGGGGTCTTATACCAGCATAAACAGTGAAGGAGAATTTATACCAGAAACCAATGAACAAAGCGTAAGTTGAAAGTTCAAAGAATTTATCAATATAAAAATATTTATACAATATAAAAAGTGAGATAAAAATATGTTTAAAAAATAAAGCCTGCAATGTCCGTTGATTTCTTCAACTGAGTTTTTTGTATGTTGTATAACAAAAAATTGTCTTACATTCAAACAGATCAAAGCGAACCAGTAATCTTTCTTCCTCCATACTATATTACCATTTATGCCAATTGGCAACAGCTCTCTCAATATCAATTGAGTTTTTCTTACTTTGCATCAAGGATGTATCTCTTTATACCAATGGCTACATTTGACATTTGGTAGTGTGTTGGGAATCATTCACTCCAAAAAGTGGATTGAATTTGGACTAAAATTAGATTGGATTTGGTTACTTAAATGCAATTAAGGTAACTATGTCCTGGATATTTACTATTTCCCCATTCTGTTACAGTCACAATTATAATTCAGCATCAACTTTGGAAAGTATTTGGAAACTACAGTCAAATCTTTAGGAAGCCTTGGGCTTCGGAACAAACACTGTCTTAGGTGATGATGCCAGATTTCAAACATGGGACCTTCTGCATGTCTTACTAGTGAGCTACAGCCCATGCCCAAATATTTTCATATGTATATATGTTTGTATGTGTAAACCTGCATTTTATAGAATTAACTTTTTTGAACGTTATGCTTTAATGTTAGCTTCAGGAATTGATTCTTTCTCATAGAAATGTTGACATGCTGGGGACCATTTGTATATTGCAAGTGGGGGGCGGCATTGGTTATATACAACTAGGAAATTCATGTATCATTAGGAAGGTCCTGCCAAGCCCCAGTTTCTTCCATTTTCCCTTTAAGCCAACTGATTAGCATTATCAGTTAGAGGTAAGAGTCAATATAGTTTTCACAATTACCTATAATGGGGGGAAAAAAATCACTCTATATTTGATAGCAAAATTCAGGACTACCTTCATCCCTCTGGACATGCCAAAAATTGTTGGGTTCCCAAATTAAGATTTAGTTATCTGCTTGGAAGGGATGGACTGCACTGCTATCAGGAAGAAGGAAATCTCTAGGTTTCTGAGGTCCACTGTCATTTAGAACCTAATAATATTACATAGCATTGTTATGAGAGAACTTCTCTCCCATTGCTAGGAGATACATTACTTCAAGTTTGTTGAGAGACAAGGTAAACCACAAGTCTCTTTTCTTCTTCCCATCAATTCAGTACTTCTGTGCAAGATGTTAGTAGGGAAGAAGAAACCTACTCCTACTCCTCTTCCTTTCTCTTAGCACCATTGACTGGAAAAATGTGTATATGTAGAAGAAATGAATGAGAAAGTGGACATGCATAAGTGTGCCCCCCCCAAAAAAAAACCACATTTGACTTGAGTATGAAAATGGTTGCTACTTACAAGGTATAGTTTTTCTTATGGTGATATTTCCATTAATATAATAGATGGAAATACTATCAATTGAGCACAAGCCTGATTCTAAAAAAGTCTCAAATAGTTAATCTTTGTCAGTTTTAATGAAATTAACTTAAATCTCTGAATTCAATTTTGTATTCTATCCTTTCAGCTGTAGGCTAAATTTAACTTAACTATATATAATCTTCTGTTCTAGATGTTGGATCCCTTAAGCAGTGCTGAAAATTCCCTATCTGGTAGTTATCAGTCCTTGAGCCAGTCAGGAGAAAGGTATTGACAGCAAGAACTATTGATAGGAATTCTGTAGTAGTTTCAACTTTTCTCCATTATTTTAAATACTAAAATATTAATATTTAACTATTTTGCCTATATAGTTAGGCTGAAAATATAGAGGGGGAAATAAGATAGAACATAATAAACAAACATGTCATAGGCAGACCTTTGAATTCTTGTGTTTATTTTCTTACACAATAACACAATAATTTTATATATTTTTATCTGCATCATTAAAAAAATGTAAAATGTAACAAGAACATCACACACACAGAATACTTTGGAAGTCATGCCATTATAACATGTAACATTGTGTTCTTCTATTCCACTTTTTCAAAATAGCCTTTCATTCCGAAAATCCTGCATGTCCAGAGCCCAGAGCTTTCCAGATAATAGGCAAGATTTCTCAGGTGAGATGTTTTCTACACAAATAGCTGTTGGCAAATAAAAGAAACTAGAGGATTTTCATATTTCACTTGCATGTTTACTGCATTTATTTTTATCTAAACAAAAATGTTTAAATATGTAGTGATGTTAACAATCACCTGTCTTCTGGGCAATAGAGATAGCTGAAAAATTAAATCATGTCTGTACTTCTGATTTATTTTTTGTTATAACAGTTTGAATTTAGTGGTTAAGAACCATTTTGATCTAGAGGTTAAAACATCAGGCTAAAAAGTGAGAAACCTTTTAAGTTTTTTTTTTTAAGGGAGGTCTTTAAGAAGAGATTGGACAGCCACTTGTCTGAAATGTTACAGGGTCTCCTGTATGAGTAGGGGGTTAGACTAGAAGACCTCCAAGACCCTTGTCCAACTCTGCTATTCTGTTTATTCTGACCTTGAGTTCAAGTCCCCTTTAACCCTGAAAGCCAGGTAGGTGACTATGAGCCAGTCACTCTCTGAGCTCAACCCACCTCACAGGATTGTTGTGGAGAAAAAAGGAGGAGGAAGGAATATGTTCACCGCTTAGACAGACAGACAGACAGACACACACACAGACAGACAGATGTGTGAAGCCTGAACTCCCCAGTGCCAAGTCTCTCACGTCACCTCCCATGGATCTACATTGGAAGTCTTCCCATGGTGAAGTTAATGATTTCTCTTTTTTTCCCTTCCTACCACCTGTGGCAAAATATATTTTTCTGAAAGGGTCTCTGTATATGCATGTTTGATAGGGTAACATTTTTGCTTCTTGTAGATCGTGAGAATCAAATCTTTGATAAACCTGAGAAAGGAGGAACATACCCTCGGCGTTACCATGTCTCTATGCAGTACAAAGATTATAATGATGGTGGGTGTGCAATCTCTTTTTAATTTTAACAATAAGGTTACTACTTCACAACATTCTCTATAAAAGCTTTCTGCTTCACACTTGCCAACCCCTTTTCTTCCCTCATCCTTTTTTAAATAGCTTGAAAATAGGAGGAGGAGGAGGCAGCAGGGAAAAATATAACAATAAAACAACTTTGTCTCCTTGTTTTACTGCAGTACACTTATTCAAAAAGATAAGATAACCTTTATTGTCATTTTTTTTCTGTGGGCACAACAGCACACATCAAAAATGAAATTTAGTTGCCCGCTCTCAAAGTGAAACACATACATGACACACACCTAAACATACTGTGAACAACATATGTATAGACCCACACCCCTACATATACGTAGCAAATAAATATTAAATACTGTCCATCTTGAATATATAACGGAAGGAGGAAGCTTGAGAGTTCACAAGGTTTCATGGAATGAAACTATGGCTGAATCTGGATGTTCTGCTACAGATACCATGAAGCCTCCTCCCAGAAGGTAACAAGGAAAACAGGTCGTGAAGAGGATGTGTAGGAAAGGAGGACTGTATTCATTTGAGACGTGGAACTCCTGACTATTCCAGGGTTTTAAGAGGATGAATGCAATACCTTATAAGCAACATCTTTTTGTTATCTATAAAAGAGTGCTTATATTCATAATTTATTGTGCAATTAAAACTGATTCCTAGATGATTTTGTAAGGAAACCCATTTTTAACAGCAAAAAGACTTCGGTTTTCCTCTCCTACATCTGCCAGTACATATGGCACATTGTTAATACAAGATTAGTCTGCACACTCTTAAGGTAGAATTGTTCAGTGTGTGTTCATTTTTATTCTTCCTTTGCATAGCAAATAATTACACTTGATTTTTTGTATATTTCATTGAACTTCCAAAAATTCAGTGTTCTATTCAGTGTTCTATTCAGTGTTCAGTGTTCCAAAAGCTCGGTGTTTCATTGAACTTCCAAAATGTTAACCCCACTCCTGTTTTGTTGTATTAAGTCTTTTGAGTGGAGTATTTAGCTTGTTTTCATGGTGGTTGTTAACTCTTCAGGCCGGAGGACATTTCCCCGCATTCGGCGGCAACAGGGCAACCTCTTTACACTAGTACCATCAAGCCGTTCCTTAAGTACCAATGGGGAGAACCTTGGTCTGACGGTGCAGTATCTAGACCCCTGTGGACGTATGTGGAGTGCTGAAAGTGAGAATACCCTCACTGTGCAGGAGAGAAACATCCCAACTAAATGTAAGTTGATGCTTCCAGATACAGGAATTTACTAATTTCAAAACGGACGATAGAAAATATTTGGCATTATTGAACCATTAGGATTACCACAGAATGCTGTGTTGCTTGCATTAATAGATCGACTTTTTAACAGGGGGAATAAAATTCATAACAGCAACTGCTCTAGAGGTACAAAGTCTGGAGAAAAATATGGAATTCCTCTTTTTTTGAACTTTCACAGGGGAAATTTCGCATGATTGGAAAAGCAACATTTGTGTGAAGTGTTTTTTTCTTTTGCTGTATTCATTAAAAATATACACTTTGTATATGTGTGTTCTGTAGATTGAGAATGGGGAGTTTATTTCAACCATATTCCAGGGTGGGAAGGGGTTTTGAGTGGCTAGGATAAAAAAATATAAGGACTTCTAAATAAAATAGAACATTTGCCAAAATTCGCTTATTTTGTGCTTTCAATAAAATCTTATGCCTCTCAAAACAAGACCCTCTGAATAATTTACTTTCAGGTAAGTATTCAAAGAATTGCATAAAAATAATCCTGTAGCAAATCAGAAAAAATAGTAAATGTAAATCCCTAGGCTGGCCAGTACATCAATGCAGAAACTATCAGGTAAAATTAAATTAAAATTCAGTAAATATTCTTTAAATTCTATGCAACAAAGATACAAAAACAAAACACTGTTGCTGAAATATTTACTGATAATTATGGTAACAGTGAAGAAACTTTAAATGGCTCCTAGTCTTGCCATCAAATGTGGATCCCAGCAAGGTGAGAACATTACAGATGAACCGGTTACTACAGGGCATTGTATGCTAAAACACTTAGACACAGGGACAGTTTTTTCCCTTGTGCCATCTCTCTGTTGAACACCTAATTCCTACAGTGCTGTCTTAAGTCTAAATACACACATCACATCACATATCCATGTTGTATGACTGTAATATTATTATTATCCTTCTTATCCTACCCTACCCTACCCTACCCTATACTCCAGAGTTCCCAACCTTTCCGGGTTGGCAGCCAGCATGAGGGGAGAAGGGGGGGAAATTATGGTTTTGTGTGAGAGACAGGCATGTGCGCACGCTGCCCATGTGAATGAGGCTGCAAGGACCGGTGCCCGTCACGCGAATGGGCTGAGAGCACTGGTGCTTGTGCGAATGGGCTGTGGGTGCCGCCACTAGTGCAAGTGGGGTGTGAGCACCAGTGCCCACCGCTCACAAGAGTGGGGCTGCGTGCACCCGCACCAGCCCACCACTTATGCGGCCCAGTTGGGGACTCCTGCTATATCCTATCCTATCCTATTCTAGACTTAAGACCACAGTTAGGGCCAGAATTTCCATTTACTAAATGAGTCATGCCCTATTTTGCAACTATTTTTGGCATAGTGGCTAAGCAAAACATTGCAGTTGTTAAGTGAATCATACGGTTGTTAAGTGAATCCAGCTTTCCCTATTGACTTTGCTTATCAGAAGCTGGCTGGGAAAGTCTCAAATGGTAATAGCATGACCCTGGGATGCTGCAACCATCATAAATACCTGCCAGTTTTGAAGTGTCTGAATTTTGATCTCATGGCCATGGGGATGCTGCAACGGTTGTAAGTGTGAGGAACTGTTGTCACTTTTTTTCACTGCTGGTGTAAATTAGAGCAGTTGCTAAATGAATAGCTGTAAATCAAGGACAACTTTTAGTCATTGTTAGTATCAAGAAATTGAAAAAGAGGGAACAAAGACTTCATTGAAGGCCTTGTAGTAGGCAATAAAGGCCACAAGTGCTTATTTTCTTTTTTATTTTCTGTTTATTTTTCTTTTCCGCTGCATAAATGATTAGAATTATATTTTTTATCCTCCTTTCTCAACTGTGAAAACCCCATGAGAAAAAACAGGCCATAATCAAGCAGGATTGCTTTCTTGTGTAGTTCTTTTTTTCTTTTCTGTTGTTCTTTCAGTTATTTATTCTAGAAGCTTCAAAGGCTTTCAGATATGTTTGACACTTTACAAAGCAATGGAGAAGATTAGAGAAAACAGAATCATAACAGTAAAAAAGTGGAATACACTTTAGCACTGCAGTAAGAAGAACAAGATAAAGCCAGAATATTCAAGGTTACAGTTTCCATTCAGGCAGCATTGGGATCAAATAGGAAAAAAGCAAAACTGGTGTAAAGTGAATGGGGAAAAAAAGTTGAGAGCTTTATGGGTTAGATTAACATTTTAAAGAACATGATTAGCTTGTGAGCCAGTATATTTCAACATTGTTTATATAGCATGCTATTTCTCCTTTGCTTACACAGGTGAAGCTGCAGGCATACAGACATATTAAGGTCATTGAACAATATGTTATTGAGCAGCTGTATAGATGTACTCTGCAAAGCATTTGAGAACTGCAGTCCTATACCAACATGATTTGTAAATTACATGAATTATATTAGACAGGGCAATTTTTTTGTAATAAACTATTATTTATAACTTATAAAATAATTTAACCTCAATCTGATGTCTTCCAAATGTGGTGGATTATAATTCCCATTTTGCAGTTACTGTCTAGGGACAGTGAGGATTGTTCTTCAGTATATTGGGAATTCAGTTGCAATTATTGTTTAATGTGCTAGATTTCAATAAGGTTAAATAAATTGCACAATTATTTATGTGAGCATTTAAATTTGATTTCAGATTTCAGTAGTTTACAAACTTTCAATTATTTCCAAGGGAAAATTCTGGAAATTTACCTATATGGATGCTTTCTTGCTCATAATTAAGATCAGAATTTTCCTCTTTTTTCCTAGAGCTAAGCAATCAAGAATGGCAGCTTAGCCTACCCTGGAAGCTTCTGTAAGGCTACTGGGAGTCATTAATAAGAGTGCCAAGAAAGATCATCTTTGATATGGTCTAGCTGCTTTTTGGGGATGTTGGAATAGCAAATGGATGAAATACTGATGTGACTGTTCCTGGGCAGTAGCAAGAATTAATTAACTGCAGCATTATTTTAAGTCATGTTACAGTTTTCAGCTGAGATATTAAACTCTTGTAATTTACATATGGGAAACATTTTTACCTTTCTTACTGCTTTAGCAATTAAATTATCTGATATAAATCAGTAGTGTTGATGCCAGTGTTAGGATGGAATTATAAATGGAAAATGACTTGTATTTGACAGCTCCAAGTGCTCCAGTCAACTGGCGACGAGGGAAGCTCTTAGGACAAGGTGCCTTTGGTCGGGTATACTTGTGCTATGATGTAGATACAGGCAGAGAACTTGCAGCTAAACAGGTCCAGTTTGACCCAGACAGTCCCGAAACAAGCAAGGTATTTCCATGGTTAAACACTGATACTAAAATACCTCTGTATTTTTCACTTTCCACTTTCCTGATTTATAATGGCAAACTTTGCGACACAAGGGTACACTTACTCGTGGCATAATTGAGTCATTTACTTAGCATTTTTTAAATTGAATTTCTTGTTGGAATTACTGGCTTCTTAGTTGTTCTCCTGTCTGCCTCTCTTAGCAATGGTATTTAGTCCTGTTTTCTCCTTATACTTACTGATGCATTGAGAGCAGGATAAAAACAATGCTACAGTGGTGCTTAAGAGTTTGTGAACTCTTTCTGATTTTTTTCTGCATAAATATGAACTAAAACTCAACTTATGAGCCATCCAAGGGCTAAAATGAGATAAAAGAGAACCCAATTAAACAAATGAACCCAAAGCATGATATTTCTTCATGTATTTATTGAGGCAAATTATCCAAAGCTGCCTATTTGGGGGGGGGGTTTAAAATTAAAAAGGGTTCACAAACTTTAAGTCCCGCTGCATGTTGACTTGTAGCTAGTCTTCTAACTCCTGGCCTCCTATGGTTAGAGAGATAGGGACAAGATAACAATTTGCTTAGAAAACAAATGCAATACAAAGTGTAAGGACATTTGTATTTTTTTTCCTTTTAAATTTTTTATTTGTTATCAAAATATAAAATACAAAAAAAATTAAAATAATGGGAAAGTAAAGGAAGAAAAAAGGAAGAGGAATGGGAAGTCTAGGGTAAAAGGGGAAAAAAGTAAAAAAAGCATTAACTTACAAATCTTTTTAATGCAGTACATTAAGATAACATATAGCCTCAATTTTTTACTTTTACATAGTAATATATACTAGCCATTTCTATAACCTGTCTAATCAGCAAAACTAAAAGTCAAAGTTTCATTTTTTTTCCACCTCAAGGACAAAGTAGAAGTCATTTCCAAGTGCAAACAAAGTTAGCTGTATTCTTTTCTTCAATTAAAGCAATCAATTTAGCCATCTTTGCTAACTCCATCAGCTTTTGCAGCCAGTCCTCCATTGTAGGAATCAAAGTATCTTTCCATTTTTGTGCATTCTGCTGTCAGCATCTATAATGTTAAAGTTCCATTTTTTTTTCAAGATCTTTGTCCATTAAGCTTAAGAGAAGAATCTCCGGCTTTACTTTATGTTTACTTTAAGTATTAAGACATGAATCCTACTCCAATATTTCTTTGCTTTGTCTCAGACCCACCATAAACGGTAAAAAGTTCCTTCTTTACATTTACATTTGAAATACCTATATACATTTTTGACAATTTATTCGGTGTTAATACCAATGGTACATCATTTTATTTAAAAAAATCTTTTAAATTATAATTTAATGTAAATTTTAAACCCTTTGTCCACTATTTTCCCATTGGTCAAGCATTATATTATATAAAAAAATTGCCCATTCGATTATACAATGTTTCACGTAGGCATTCTCCAAAGTCAATAACAGTTTATAAATCTTAGCAATAATGTGTTCATCATTACTACATAGTAAAGTTTCCAATTCACTTTTTTGCAAAGGCAAATCCATAATGTTTAAATCTAATTTAATCTTCTCTTGAACTGTAAATATGTAAACCAATGACAGACACAATTTGTTGTAGGTTTTAATCCATGCTTTGATGATGACTGAGCAGTCTCCACAAAAATAATTAAATAATGTTTTTATCTTTTGTAGATCTATTTTCTTTGCTTTATTTATTTATTTATTCAAAGCAACCTTGCTGAATAGCATAGCTATAGACAGGGTTTTTTTTTTATTAAAAAGTTTTATACAGTATACAATATCCAAAACCCATCCAGCCCTAACCCTCCCCCCACTTCCCAGAGCTGAGTACAGGGTTACAAATTAGTAATCAAATTCTAATTAACATTACCCAACTATATAAGTAACCAAATCCATAAAATACTTTAACTCTCATTTAAGATAAATATAAGCAAATTAAAAAGAATAATATAAACAAGTCAATGTTAATTAAGCCATAGTAATACCAAATCTAAAATGAGTTATTATACTATCAGTACTAATCTAAAATTTACTCATAAACTAGATTAAACTTTTTAATCCCATATTTATTCTGAATATAATCTATCCATCTTCTCCAAACCGAAATATATCTTTCTTGTGTATGATCCTTCAAATAGGCAGAAATTTTTGCCATTTCTGCTAAATTTGACACCTTAAACGTCCATTCTTCTATAGTAGGCAAAGACTCTTTCTTCCGATATTGCCCTACCAATAACCTTGCTACTGTTATTAAGTTCAACATCAAATTAGTTTTTTTAACATCAAAATCTACAATAATACCCAACAAAAATAATTGAGGGGTAAACTTTATCTTTCTTTTAAAAATCTTTTGAATGTTCCACCAAATTTTAATCCAAAAAGCTTTTATATTTCTACAAGTCCACCAAATATGAAAATAGGTTGCATCCAAGCTACCACATCTCCAACATTTGGGCTGTAAATTAGAATACATACAAGACAGCTTTCTCGGATCCAAATGCCACCTGTAAAACATTTTATAAAAATTTTCTCTTAAATTTTGAGCCCGTATAAATTTTACATTTCTAACCCAAATTATCTCCCATGTATCCAACGGGATCGGTTCCTGAATATTTTGAGCCCATTTTACCATACAATCTTTAATTAGATCCATTTCAGAATCCAATTCTATTAAAACATTATAAATTCTCTTTATATGGGCCCGATTTTGATCTTTAATCTGTTTTAACCAAATTCTCATCCCCTAAAGTAATACCAACCTTTTGATCTAAACTCCACCTAACCACTAATTGATTATACTGAAACCAAAACTGTATAATATTTAAAAGAGCCAAGGTGGCGCAGCAGTTAGAGTGCAGTACTTTAGCTGACTGTGTTCAGCAGGTCAGCGGTTCAAATCTCACCGGCTCAAGGTTGACTCAGCCTTCCATCCTTCCGGGGTAGGTAAAATGAGGACCCAGATTGTTGGGGGCAATGTAAATATATATATACATTGCTTACTGGTGTACACCGCTTAGAGAGTGCTTGCACTTAAAGCGGTATATAAGTCTCATAAATAAATAAAATAAATAATATTTTCTTGCTTTAGCTCAACTAAAGATTTTAATTGCCAATCATTCCCTACCAATCAAAATAATTCCTTATAAGAGATCCTATCCAAATTCACACCCCTAGATACCCCTTCTATCGCGTGTCCAGGAATCCCCCAAATTGGTATTTTATAATTTAACCTATAATAGTACTTCTTCCAGACACGCAATAAGGCAGTTCTTAAGATATGGGATTTGAAAGCCTGATCTACTTTTTTATTATAAATCAAATATGTGTGCCATCCATATAATAAGTGGCAGGGTGGTTTTTTTACATCATTCTTTCTGTCAAACATCTAACCAATGTAAACATGTTGAGATCTAGGATTATAATTTATTGTATCCAGAGAAGCCAGCATCGTATTCTATCTTTAAGATAAAGTGTGTGGTTATAAACCCTTTATTTGGGCACAATGCATTCTAGACTCATATAGAAATGGCAGCAAAACAGGAGAGAAAAGTTTGCATGTATCTGATAACGTTCTGATTTATTAAGATCTAATCACTGTTTTCAGTAAGGTGCAAACATTACCATTATGTCTTAAAGATTTTACTTTTTTTATTCAACTTTGTTAAGTTTCAAAGAGAGATAAAACACAAAATAAAAAAAAAAGTTAAGAGGAGGAAGTGACACAAAATTCTCCTGAAGTTTAGGGTATTTCTAAAATGAATTCTTAGAATTCCTAATTTCTTTAAGTATATTATAGTGATATTGTTAATGTCTACTATTATCCCTAGTATAAACTTTCATTAGAATGTAATGTTCCCCGTTTTTAAAATGAAAAGTTATCCGCAAAGAAGTAATTTAGTTGTAACTTTTTTACTAGAAGGCTTGATAGAATCTGAAGACAGCAAACACCATTGCAACAAAAGTATTCCAGCCTCTGTGTGTCACATATATACATGTCTACTCATTATTGCCCGCTGTTTCTAAAATACCAGCTATAACACATTTGCATAACAGTGAAAAATTATATTTTGTGAAATTGCAGGCTTAATTGATTGACTGAAAATTCCATGTAGTTTAACAATTGGATAGCATTAATGGCTGCATTACTAGTAGAAATGAATCAGCACGGGAATAGATGAATAACATCTTATGCCATACATAAATTAGTATGCAAAGTTCAATGTTTCAGCAACTACCTAAAAATTACCACTTTTGCATTATATTTTAGACTACTCTCTTTGTAGAATAGGACTTAAGATTTCATGTCAGATATGTCAGTTAATTGTCCTTTTTAAAAATAGCAATATTACTGTATTTAATTTCAAATGTGTAGGAGTGGAGAGAAGTCTGATGATGCCATAATTTATTAGGTTCAGATTGCCTAAATTTTACCTCCACTAAAAAGTGACATTTATGTGGCGATTGCTGTCCTATGTCTTTCTCAAGGTAATCTGGCAATTCTTATTCCTGCAGGAAGTGAGTGCGTTGGAATGTGAGATTCAGCTACTGAAGAACCTTCAGCACGAGCGGATTGTTCAATATTATGGATGTCTAAGAGACCGAGCAGAAAAAACCCTGAGCATTTTCATGGAGTACATGCCAGGGGTAAGAGTTCTATGGATTCTTCAGAAAAGTGGTTGTAATCCATCTCAGATCTCCGTAGGATACAGAGTTATTTACTTTTTTAATTCCTTTCAACTTCATTAGCCAGTTTTGTGTAATGATTAAAGGCACCTGGCTAGAAACCTGGAAATACTAAGTTCTAGTTCTGCCTTATGCTCAAAACCAACTGGGTGACTTTAGGCCAATCATTCTCTGTTCTGAGAAAAAGGCAATAGCAAACCACAGCCAAAAATCTTGCTAAGAGCACTAGATGAACTTATCCACACAGTCACTAGGAATCAAAAATGACTTGGAGGCACAAATACAGTATGTAAATATATATATCTTTCCTGCTTTTCCTGTGAAGGGTTCTGTCAAAGATCAGCTGAAAGCCTATGGTGCACTAACGGAAAATGTGACTCGAAAATACACTCGGCAGATTCTTGAAGGAGTCTGTTATCTTCACAGCAACATGATTGTACACAGAGATATAAAAGGTAAAAGATCCACATAAATCTACATGGCTTCATACGTTCTATATGTTCTATTATGCTTATTTATGCCATAAAGGACAGGAAATAAGTATTGGCTATATTTTTTTCAAGATGGCATTAGTATCAATATCATAATACTATTCAATAGTTGAACAAATACTATTAACAATATATTAGATGCTATTGAATTTATGTGCATGTAATTCTCCCAAATGTATTTGCTGGTATACTCAAAAAGTCATGAATTGGCATTACAAAATAACTTGGTTTTACTTATAAGGAAAACAGCCACTATATATTCTGCAGTATTATAATCACATTGAGAAATGACAAATTGAAGACATATTGAGTAGCTCAAGAAACAGTGCAAGAGTGGTGACAGGATCAGGATATAGAACATGTTATATTATGAATGCAATAAGGAATGAAACTTATCTTTTCCTCTTGTACCTTTATTAGTCAAAACCCTCCCCTCTTTACGCAGTCGCTGTTCTTTGTTTCCAGAAGAATAGTTTGCAGTGAATAGTATCTATAGGGCAAATAATAGCATAACATATTATTTTCACTGGGAAAACTACAAGAGGCATTATTTTTTTTTATTTTTTATTAAAAAAAATTTAAAATTTTACAATAAAAACCCCTTCCCCAATCCCTTCCAACCCACCCCAAGATCCTCCCCCATTCTCCCCAGAGCTGAATACAGGCTTAACTAGATCTTAAAAGAAAAAAAGTTTTAAACCCAAATAAACCTTAAGCAAATATAATTACACTCAATAAATAAATTGTAAAATACTTTAACTCCATTATATATAAAAAACAAAAAGAGGAAAAACAAAAGAGAAAATAAATAAATAAATAAATAAATAAAAAATTAAAGAATAATAACAATTACACTTCTAAATAATATCTTAAACTTATATAAATTATTCAAAAGCTAGATAATATTTTCTTATATCATACTTATATTGTATAAAATTTATCCATCTTTTCCACACCGAAAGATACTTCTCTTGCGATTGATCTTTCAAGAAAGCCGAAATTTTTGCCATTTCCGCTAAGTAGGAAACTTTAAAAAACCATTCTTGCAAAGTAGGCAAAAATTCCTTCTTCCAATATTGCCCTATTAACAACCTAGCCGCAGTAATTAAATTTAACATTAAAATAATCTCTTTATCATCACAATCAGAAACAATACCTAACAAAAACAATTGTGGAGTAAATTTTATCCTTCTTTTAAAAATTCTTTGAATATTCCACCATATCTTAATCCAAAAAGCTTTAATACTTTTACGTGACCACCAAATATGATAATAAGTAGCATCTGAGCAACCACATCTCCAACATTTAGGCTGCAGGTTAGGATACATACGAGACATTTTTTGTGGATCAAGGTGCCATCTATAAAACATTTTATAAAAATTTTCCCGTAAGTTTTGGGCTTGCGTGAATTTAACATTCCTCACCCAAATAATCTCCCAAGTATCTAATAAAATTGGTTCATCAAAATTTTGTGCCCACTTAACCATACAATCTTTAACTAGCTAAGAGGCATTATTTTTCATGCTTCAGTCTCCAACTAGATTTGGGGATATTAAAAAATGTCAGCTTTAAAGTGTAACAAGTAACTCTCTTGGTATATTACTCATCTGACATTTTAATTTTTTTTAGAAGATAGGACCATACTTACAGTTGGAAAATAAAAATGGTTGACATTTGCAGTCTGGAAAAAAAAGGACAAAATCAAGCTGGTGCATTGGCAAGGAGCATGAGGAAAAAGGGAAAGTGGTCTAAAGAATATGGTAGAGAACATCTCATCAGCTTTCTTTAGTGTTTTGGGACTGGCTACAGTAGTCACTGCAGCTATTTTATGAATAGCTAAGTTCAATCTTCTGAAAGACATTTTGTTACAGTAAACACCAGCATTCAAGGATCAAATATTTCCACTAATTTAAAAAGAGTGGTTATGCAGTGTAATGTGCTGTGGGTCATAGAGTAACGGACTGAGAAAATGATGGTTTGGATATATCTCTAAAAAGAAGCATCTTCATCTTTAGAATTTAACAATGCAAGGTGGCTGCAGTGACAAGATAATTCGTATGGAACTCAAGTAATTTTAAACTGGGTTCTAGCTGTGAAGGCTTATAAATCTATACTTTGAGTTGTATACTTGAGCAGCTTATATTTCTTTTATTTTTCTCCATCTCTACACCCACTTCAACTCAGGAGCCAATATTCTTCGAGATTCTGTGGGCAATGTGAAGCTTGGAGATTTTGGGGCTAGCAAGCGACTACAGACAATCTGCATGTCTGGGACTGGCATCCGCTCTGTCACTGGCACCCCTTATTGGATGAGTCCAGAAGTGATCAGTGGAGAGGGCTATGGAAGAAAAGCTGACATCTGGTGAGAAATAGCTTTGTGCTGCTTGCTTAATATAAAGGATTATTTTCTAGAAAAAGAACTTTCTGCCACAGTATTCTGAACCAGTTGGCATTTCATTAACCTTTTTTCTGTAAACTATAATGGATTCAACAGGCTAATTTATTTTTCCCTTCTCACCTTTTTCCGTCCCCCTTTCCCCACTGCTGTTCAATGCTCTGTGTTCCTGGATATTGGTCTGGTTTTCTGCACAACTTTGCTTTCTTTTGTAATAGCTCAGAAGTCATCCAAGCATGCTGATGTCTCTCTTCCTTCCTCTGGTTCTGCAGTAGCTATTCTGTCAGTGCTCAATCAGCTTATTATTAGAAGAGGAGCTGTTAATGAGAGTTGCCATAACCTTCAGTATAATTGCCGAATTTAAACTTGACTTTTTTTGTCACTAAAGCTTATTACCTTATCAAAGCTTTTTCTGGATGGTTACTTTTGAAACAAGAATCTTCTATATCCCTACCAGATAAAAAGGAGAGATATTAAAACAGCAACAACAACAACAACTCTTGGCTAGGGTCTTCCAAGTACTTTACAAAATCTCTAAATAATAAATGTGTCATGGAGTTGCAGAGGTGGACATGAATATTTGCTTCTTGTTTCCTCAGTATCCAAGCAGAAAGGATCCTACACTAAATAAGCAGAACGGACCATGTTTTAATAAACCAGCCTTTAGGAGCAGTAAGGAGCATGGTGGTGATATGATAATTGCACAGATAGATAAGTCATAACAATTGACTATTTCAGGGAATCAAACTGGTGATGATAAGTAAAATTGGTTTATTAAATATAACAGGCTTAAGAAGAAAAGCAAAGATCTAGAAATGTGGCAATCTTATCAGTGAGGGCTGCCAAAAAGAAATAAGACTACATTCAATCACAGGTTGCCCATCATAAACTGTATTTTTTTATATAAAAAGCCTGCAAGCTTTTTAGCATTAACTGTGTGCATTTCCTCTGTTGGTTTCAATTGATTGGGGACAGCTGCTTTAAAATACTTCAATATAACCTAAATTGTGATGTGTTGAAATACAGTTTCTGTATTCACTGATCAAACAGGGCACACAAGCTTGTCATTATCATAAGCATCTGCAACTGCAGGATAATAAAGAAGCTCTAATTAACTTTTTTTTTCAGTCAGGGATTAAGACATAGTGGGTCCTAATACATTAAAGTAAATACCAACATTCAAAGATCTAATATTTCCACTAATCTAAAAAGATTAGCTATGCAATGTGCTGTGCTATGGGTCATATTTTTACAGAAATATGTAAATTTTGGTATGATTTTAATAAAATTATATTAGTTTTTTCTTGAGCAGTAGTTTTTCTCATGGTTTTGAGAAGTTCTTTTGACAAAGAATAAGTTAAAAAAATAGCTTTATAAGAATGTGCAGTCATATATGTATTTGTACTATTGAGTAGCATTTGTTTACAGCATCTTTTTAAGGTTATTTTTTTAAGATAAAGTAATTTAAAACATAAATTGCTTTTATTGATCTGTGCTAGAATGCTTCATTCATAAAATTTCTTCAAGAAGGCTTGCATTTTGGGGCTGTGTTCATACTTTTCTGGAAACAAGCTGCCATACGAACAGTTTCATTTCATTGTGACCAGTACTTCTGATCCTTCTGATCCTGTTTACTTCTGCTTCTGTAACAAACACCATTCTTTGGTTTTACTGACTGTAGTCTTAACTTTTCATCAGGGTCTTTTTCCTCCTCCCCTATTTTTTTTCCTTCATCATTTCATTTAGCTATGGTCAAGGATCTTCAGCATATATCTTTATTTACGATTAAAGATCAATCACAAATTTGTAAAATACAGCTAAACTCTTGAGTCTGTCCCATTTAAAATGTTAAATAGTCTGTTGTCATGTTTTCAGCACACAAAAGTTAACTATCCTGAGAATTATGTGATACTTCGCATCTGAAAGTAGTAAAATAGTTTAATTTTCTTCTAATCTGCCTGGATAATCCACAGTACAAGGCTAATGTATTTTAAATGTAAGTCCTTATAGGAAAGGCAATATAATAAAATGAGGTTTATTATTTCAGTTTTCCTCAGTTCTCATGGGCAAGCTGTCTTGTCGAAGGGAATTTTAAAATATTTATATTTATTTTAAAAGTGGAGGAACATAGTATCTAGCTTTAAATAATTGTCCTTATAGGTCTGGAATGGTAAGTGTGATTACTTTGTTGGTTCCAGGTAAAATTTTTAAACAAAACATTCTGTGATATACTGTTTGCTTCATTTTAGTGTTCCATATCTTTGACTCTTTGCAGGAGATACTGATTAGCCAAGTCATATCCTAGAGAGGTAAGCAACTCTACCAAAAGCCATATGATAGCAACTTATTATCATTTTTGGCTTTCCACTTTCAGAAATATTTATTTGCCAAAACTAACAGGATTAAACCTGAAAGGAACAAAACAGCCAATAAGTGTCTGCTTCCAAGTCCTCGCTGCTCTTCAAGACATTCTGTTGCCTAGTCTAGCTGCCTAGGATATATTTATTTATTTATGAGACTTATATACCGCTTGAAGTGTGAGCACTCTCTAAGCGGTGTATACCAGTAAGCAATGTATATATATATTTACATTGCCCCCAACAATCTGGATCCTCATTTTACCTACCCCGGAAGGATGGAAGGCTGAGTCAACCTTGAGCCGGTGAGATTTGAACCGCTGACCTGCTGAACACAGTCAGCTAAAGTGGCCTGCAGTACTGCACTCTAACTGCTGCGCCACCTCGGCTCATCTTGAAGCAGAAAGAATACCCTTCAGTTGCACTACCTCAATTTTCTTTTGTATTCATGTAAACTCCACAAAGAAATGGGGCTGTTTTGCTGAAAAAGATTTAAAATTGCTGAAATCAATTTTCCTCCTTTAGAGATTTTTAATAGCCATTTTAATAATTTAATAGCTATTGAGGTTTGAAACATTGAAGCTTAATACCTATTGAGGATCCAAGTAGTCTGAACAAAATTTTAAAAAATCAGAGCTTTCTAGATCTTCATATGGTGAAAATTTATTCCCAATATTTGAAGTTCTGGACCTATGTGATTTTGTTTCTTTCAGTGATCCATCTCTATGGCTTTATTGTGCCATAATTTTTGGTTTTGTAAAATTAATATCCAGTAGTGCAATCTCCCTTCAATATTGGACTATAGCTTTTATGACTCTTAAAGCTAATTAGAATGTATGAATTGATTACTTAATCAGTATATAGCAAGATGGGAATGTTGAGTCCTGCAAGTGAGGGGCAATGAAAATCTGGTTTAAGGCTTCAGTTAATATAGAAGTTAATAGGTGCCAAAGTGCATCCTGGCTTAACCACTTTAAGGGAAGGTATTTATTTTGAAATCACTTTTTATGAGTTACGTCTCATAGTGAGTTGTTAGCATTGATGAAGCAAATATTTATTTATTAATCAAATTTATATAGCTGCCCATCTCACTGAAGGTGACTCTGGGAAGAACACAACAAAATGGATAAAATTACATATAAAATCACAATATAAAAAAATAAAAATCAAATAGCAATAATTATATAAACAGAAATACAAAACCTAGTTAAAGAGGGAATAACACTAGTGAGCATAGCAACATCTCTGGTTCCTGGGAGCCCTGGCAGCCCTAGGCCTGCTCGGATAATCAAGTTTTGAGATCCTTTCAGAATATAATATGAGTGGAGCCATAATTTTGGATAGAAATAATGTTTCATAACATTATAACACTATGGCAGAGAAGGCATATCTCCAGGAACCCACTAAATGTAGGTCCTTAGTTGATATTATCTGCAGCATAGGCCTCCTAGCCACAACAGCCACTTGCTCATTAATCAGGGGTCATGATTACCTAAGACCTCCAAGTTGCACATGGGATTTGTATGTATGCGTGTATGTAACACCATCCAGCACCAAAGATACTTATATAATAATAATGATAATAATAAAGTTGGAAGGGACCTTGGAGGTCATCTAGTCCAACCCCCTGCTCGGGCAGGAAACCCTACACCATTTCGGACAAATGGCTGTCCAGTCTCTTCTTAAAAACTTCCAGTGTTGGAGCATTTACTGCTTCTGGAGGCAAGCTGTTCCACTTGAAACAATGAGCCCAAAATCTAGCCATTCAATCTTGCCAAGCCACTCAGTCCTTCATAATTTCCAGATGTTAGGATAAGACATTCACAGCTTCATTTTATTTGCCAGGGATAGAGATACAGAATTGTGTATCATATGCATACTGATGATATCTCACCCAGTGGGATGGATGAGTTCATTCAGCAACCAGACATAGATGTTTATGAGAGAGAGGAGAAATACCAAACCTTGTGGCATCTTACAAAGGCTGAGGGAGGGATCTCTCCTTCCCTATCATCAACTGGAATCAACCCAGAAAGAAAGAGGCAAATCAGCACAACAACATGCCACTCAACCCAAATCCTCTGAATTGAACCAGAAGGATACCATGGTTAGTGGTATCAAAAGCTGCTAAGGGTTCAAGTAGGTCACAGATGGATACATTAACCCTATCCCATCTAAGCTAAAGGTCATTCAAAAGTGCAAAGAGTGCTGTTCCGGTTTTGATGTCACAGTAAGATGGACGTAGGGAAATGGTATTCTTCCTCCTGTGCCCGATTTCTTCCTGCTGTGGCCCCAAAAAGGGCCTGAAGTTGCCTCAGAGAGGCGACAAAGCAAGAGGGGACTCTTGTAGATTGCAGGGAGATGGCGGTCGACCCACTTGATCCAAAGAAGCCCTCAGAACCAACAGGAGAAAGACTGACTACACCCACGCAACCAGTTGGAAGCTGCTGACCTCTGGAGAAAAAAGCAGCATCTAACAAGCATGAACAACATGATTGAATCTGGGTGAGATTATTTTCCTTCCTCTACGATTTTAAAACCTGTTCTTAGAAAAAAAGCGACCTGAAAGCAAGGAAATTCCCAGAACTAAAGGGAGGGGGGTTCCTTTTT